GTCCATCTCCTCCCCACCTTCGCAGATGTTCTTGCCTTTGCAAAGGTCGTAGACGTGGGTCAAACGCTTCTTCGGCTGCCCTTTGGATTTGGCCAGGATGTCTTTGATCTTCGGGTTGTTCTGCGGCAAAAAGAAGAACGGGGTGTTCCCCCCAAATAATAAAGGATGTGATCAACCGTGCCATGCCCAGAACCTGGACAAAGTATTCCCAGTATGGTCTGACCAAGGCAGAATAGAGTGGAACGATTACTTCCTTTGATCTGGACTAGACTTCTGTTGATGCAGCCTGGAATAGCGCTGCCTTTTTTGTTGTTGCTGCATCACACAGTGGACTCATGTTTGGTTTGCGGTCCAATCAGACCCCTGGATCCTTTTCACAGGTACTGCTAGTAAGCCAGGTGTCCCCCCCCCCAATCCTATATTTGTGAAGCTTGTTCTTCCTAAGTGCATAACCTGAAATGTTTCCAATTGAAATTCATTTTGTTACTTTGGGCGCAGTTCTCCAATCTGATTCAGCCTTCTGCAACGTTAGCTACTAGTTTGGTGTCATCTGCAAATTTGATGAGCACCCCCTAAATTCCTTCATCATTTATATTGATGTTGAACAAAAACAGGCCCAGGACAGAACTCTGCAGCACCCCACTTGTCACTCCCCCCCCCCCAGGGTGACAAGGAACCATTAATGAGTACTCTTTGGGTTCGGTCAGCCAACCAACCAACTACAAATCCACATAACAGTTCCCTCGTCCAGCCCGTGTTTCACCAGCTTCCTTGTGAGAATATCACAGGGGACTTAGTGAAAAGCCATACTGTTTTCGTGCTATTCACTGGTCTGAGCTTGTTTCTAAAGCTGTCCAATAGCTCCAGCCATTACTCACAGAGTCAACCAGCAGCTTGGAGCAGAAAAAGCAGACGCAACGGAGAACCTTCATCGTCTTGCCCAAGAAGCCGACGTGGAAGACAGGCTTGGCCAGCTCAATGTGTCCGAAATGGCCGGGGCATTCTGTCATGTTGCCTGCCGGAGAACAGAAGGACGGGAAAATCATGATATGATAGCCATGTTCAAATATATAAAAGGATGTCACATAGAGGAGGGAGAAAGGTTGTTTTCTGCTGCTCCAGGGAAGCGGACACGGAGCAATGGATCCAAACTACAAGAAAGAAGATTCCACCTAAACATTAGGAAGAACTTCCTGACATTAAGAGCTGTTCGACAGTGGAATTTGCTGCCAAGGAGTGTGGTGGAGTCTCCTTCTTTGGAGGTCTTTAAGCAGAGGCTTGACAACCATATGTCAGGAGTGCTCTGATGGTGTTTCCTGCTTGGCAGGGGGTTGGACTCGATGGCCCTTGTGGTCTATTCCAGCTCTATGATTCTATGAGCCCCTCCGACTCCCAGATTCTGAGACTGGCCCCCTCATCACCAGTTTTCCTAGCGAGGCCCCAGCATAGTCTCCCCCACCCTGGCACCGTGGAGCTGGGGCTGCTGGGAGTTGTAGTACGAAGCGCCTGGCGCACGGCCCTAAGAACCCACCTGCACAAGTCTGGCACCGTCCTGTCCTTTCAATGACACCCTGTCGAGGGTCCATCAGGCCCCCCAGCTTGGGACGGCCCCCTTCTGTTGTCTCAGGGTACTTGATCCCCCCTTCCGTCACCGACATCCGTTTCTAGAAGGAAAAAAAAGAAAGGAGAATCAGTATCAGCCAAGTCTTCAGGGTGTGGGGAAAGCCAGACGTCAAGAATGGGGACCCAAACAGCATCAGGAGCCCTAGAAGAAAAGAAATGATATCTAGGTTTGGAGATACAAGGAACAGAAGCGCAAAGGGCGTTTTATTATTATTATATCACTTCCCTAATGGTCCTCTAAAAACCATTACCAGGAAAACAAAGCGTTTTTAAGTAAGTGAAGACTATCAGAAGGACACCTTCCATTCAGGAGAGAATTTACTGCGGGGATAAAACAGCTTCGCAAACTTTACAGCCTGCCCTAGCTCTCCACATCAACAAGATTACAGGCAAAAATGAAAGAAGGCAGCGAAGCTCTACTACGTACAGCAAGACCCATTTCATCGATTTTCTCTCCCCACACAGAAGGGGCTTTCTGAGATTTTAATGGGAGACAAGCAACAAATGCTACTTAAAACGCAGGATCTGTGAGCAAGTTTTAAGGAGAGAGAGCTTAAGGCCAGCTCAACCGAAACTTACTTGCTGTGTTTTTTATATGGAAACAAATAAAAACCGCAAAGTTCTTTCAAAATGCAGTTTTGGAGTCAGTGGAGCAAATGTGTGCATGCATGTAATATTCTTCAGCATAAAAATGCCAACATGGACTGTGCTGCCACTCCTTTGAAAACAAATTGGTATCTTTTGCTTAAAGGTGGCATATAAATCAAATTATTAATAGGAGTCCCAGCAGCAAAATTATTCAATTATTAAGAAAAAAATGATAAGGAAATCCACTTAGGTACCCCGGGGGGGTGGTCCAAGGAACAGAGTTTTGTGGCACTTTTAACATCTGCAAACTGGTGGGAAAATCTGTCTTGCAGGAGCGAGCAGGCTTTGGGCTGCCTTATCGCAAACCAACATTTTTTGGAGTAGGAGGAGAGAACACTGTGCTCCCCCCTCCCCCAGGAAAGTGCAATCGATCTCCCTTTCTCCCACAGGAAAGCCAAGCACACCCGCATTTTCCCCCCTTCTTTATTGCCCTTCCAAAATCCCAATGCGATAAAAAGTCTGGAGAAAGTTCTCTGAAAGACCCCACCACCCACCCGGCACTCTTATTTTTCGCACCACCACCACACCTTCTCTAAATCATAAAAGATGATATAAAAACAGAGCGGCGCGCGAACCCACCATCTCATCCGGGCTCAGGATGCCGAATTGCACGCGCTTGATGGTGCGCAGCGGGCACGCGCTGTCCCCGGACGGCGCTCCCCCGTGCATCTTTGCACACTTTTTTTTTTCCGCCTCTCTCCGCCTTTTGGGGTGTCACGTGACGCAGACGCGGCGCTGCCTCCGCCTCAGCCAGGAAGCAGCCGCGGCCCCTCCCCCGCACGCTCCGGTTTCCACCGAGGCCTACCGAGCTCGCCGCGGGTTCAGGGACTGGGTCTCCCTCGCCGCCCCGCGGACCGCGAGTCGGGGAGGTGCCGGCACACTCAGCCGCGTCCCCCAACTCCGCCCCACCCGCGCGCGCGCGCCCTCGCGACCACGTCCGGCCGCCTATCCCCTTCCCTCCCTTCTTCTCCCTCCGCGCTCTAAAGCGCGACTGAGCCAGCAGGCTCTCCGGCGCCGCCTTATATAGACTCTCCCCCCTGCACGGGGCTACAGGAGCAGAACGGCAAGGGCGAGGACGCGGAAGTGGGCGGCGCCGCGGCTTGCGTCCCCCTCCGAGCGGAGGAGAGGCGGGAGGGGGCGTGGCTAGAGCGAAGGGGTTGGGAGGAGAGAAAAGCGGGCGGGGAGGCGCCGCAAGCGGTGGGGGTGCGGCCATACCAATTGAGTAAAAGGGGGGGGAGAGAAAGAGATAAAAGGCGTTGGGTGAATTGGCTGGCTGTTCGCCTTTGGCAAATCGATAGATCGCCTGTTTTTAGTTTGTGCATCTCCAGGCCTTGCATGGGGAGGGCGGGGGGGGGGAGAGTGACATTTGGTTTCAATGGGGATTGTTCCCGAGTAAAACGGGCAGAGACATCACCTTGCCAACAAAGTTCCGTATAGTTCGAGCTCTGGTTTTCCCAGTAGTGATGTATGGAAGTGAGAGCTGGACCATAAAGAAGGCTGATTGCTGAAGAATTGATGCTTTTGAATTCTGGTGCTGGAGGAGACTCTGGAGAGTCCCATGGACTGCAAGAAGATCCAACCTCTCCATTCTGAAGGAAATCAGCCCTGAGTGCTCACTGGAAGGACAGATCCTGAAGCTGAGGCTCCAAGACTTTGGCCACCTCATGAGAAGAGAAGACTCCCTGGAAAAGACCCTGATGTTGGGAAAGATGGAGGGCCCAAGGAGAAGGGGACGACGGAGGACGAGATGGTGGGACAGTGTTCTCGAAGCTACAAACATGAGTTTGAGCAAACTGCGGGAGGCAGTGGAAGACAGGAGTGCCTGGCGTGCTCTGGTCCAGGGGGTCACGAAGAGGCGGACACGACCAAACAACTCAACAACAACAAGTAACAGATGGGTAGCCGTGTTGGTCTGCCATAGTCAAAACAAAAAAAATTCCTTCCAGTAGCACCTTAAAGACCAACTAAGTTAGTTCTTGGTATGAGCTTTCGTGTATCTGAAGAAGTGTGCATGCACACGAAAGCTCATACCAAGAACTAACTTAGTTGGTCTTTAAGGTGCTACTGGAAGGAACAACAAGTAAGGCTGCCTTTGCAGAACCTGCCCTCACCCTCTGTAGGAAGACGTCTCTCACGACTAAACGACTCAACAACAACAAAAACGAGTTTAGGATGAGAATCGGGGTCAAGGAAAGGGGGAAAATTGAGGCTTGCCTCGACCAAAGTCAATCAGGACTTGTTGCAAATGTCAATGGCCGCAGAATTTTGCACTCGAAGGAGGGTTCTGTGCCTGCCACTCGTTAATGCTTTTTGTTTCCGAAAATAAATGCAAAGCTTTTGCAAAACAAAATAAAAGAGTAACCAGGTTCCACAATTTTGAAACCTGACTGCTTCCAAAAGTGGTTTAAACTGGGAAATCTGACCTTACTGAGTTAGAAAGCTTTGTATGCGCAACCTCATCCTTTGCATCGGAATTGATTTCAATGGGACATGCTCTTAAATCGGATTGCAAATCCGCAATATATGTTTTCTTGCCGAATTACTCTCTCCTTTTCTCTCCCCCCCCCGCGGCTTCTTGCTAATGGTTCGGTCTGCAAAGAAGGCGGAACCTCGCCCCAGTTCCGGCTGCTTTCGCGAGGGACTCCGCGTTCCTCATTGACTATTCATAAGCCCGGGAGGGCGGGAGGAATAAAAGAAGTGGGCGTGGTCATGCTCCGAAACTCGCCGAAAATGGCCGAAGGGGACCGAGGGTGGAGGAGCGGGCTTTCTCTCACAGCCAGCTTTTGTCGAGAGCGAAGGGGAGGCGGATGGAACGCTCCGGGGAGTGGCCTTCAAAGCGCCGGGCTCGCGCATTTCGCTTGGCCGGGAGGCGGCGCCAGGCTGCCCCGCCGCTCTCCCTTGGAAAGCCCGCGGCTTCGGGGCCTACCTCCGGAACTGAGGCCTTCGTGGGGGAGGCACCTAAAGCAGACTTTGGGGGTACGGAAGGCTAGAACTGACGTCGATTACGGGGGCGGGGGGGTTAGGAACACGGAATTTTTTTCCTGACTAGATGTTGGATGGGGGGGGTTCATATTTGGGGTCGTGGGATTGAGTGGGGGGGGCTTTATTTACGAGGGGGGCCCTTTAGCGACATGGGGGGGGGAGCCTGGCCCTTGGGGGGTCGGTGTGTGGTGGTGAATAGTTTAGATTCGGTGTGTAGGAGTGAAAAAGTGGGGAAAATAATTGACTGGTCGTGTGGTTTTTTGGGGGGGGTTTCTTATGTTTTGGGGGGCCTTGGGAGAGCGAGGGCTGGATCTTTTCTGCGTGTGGGGGGGTCAAATAAATGTTTAAAATCTAAAGTTTTTAATTAGGGGACGAGGGAGTATCTCTGGAGATACTTGTGGGGAGAGAATAGGGTGAGAAAAATGAGAAAAATCGGGGGGGGGAGCCCTGGAGAAATATTGGGGGGGCAGGGAGGGGGGAAAGCAAGACAATTCTTCTGTGTCGGTGTCCAAGAAGCCTTAAAACTTGGCATTTTGGACTGAGAAGAATTAATTAGATTTCTGAACATTTTTTTGTTGGGGGGGTAGATAGGAATATGGGAATTTGTGATTTTTAATGGGGAAAATTACTTGGGCAGTGATGGGAAGGGCTTATGTGTGGGTATTAAAAGAGTTCAGGTTGGCGGGGTTTTCGGTCTGGAAGCCAGCCAGCTTTGGGATGCTGCTGCTGCCCCCCCCCCCAAAAAAAATATCAGGAGAAGGTGAGGTTTAACTGGCAGGGGAATGTACCTGTGGGTGGTGGTGCAAGAATGGCCTTGTAAGTTTTTGCGGAGTTAAAAAGGCTCCCTTGAAAGTTAAGGGTGTGTCGTTTTTTGGGGGAAGCCAGCTGCGTAAATGGGGATTTTGGAGACAAAAGCTGTGTGTGGAGGAAGCTTGGTGTTTTTGGTGCTGGGAGTGAGTGGAGGAGGGGATATTGGCTGAACATTTTGGATGGGAAGTAAGTGAGCTCTGTTGGCATCGCCGAGAGCGAATTCTCAGCGGCCACATCAAGTTTATTTGGATTTAAAAGATTGTATTCCACCCATCAGCAGAGCTGCCTGGGCAGGTTACAAAACTGATAAAAGATCACATTGTTTGGGGGTTTTTTAAATAAAAAAAAATACCAACAACAACCACCCCATACACATTCTGAAAGCCTGGAAGATTTAATAGCACCTTTTTGCATGAAACAGTGTTGGCAGTAGATGAGACTCACTGAAGTAAATTCACTGAATGGGCCATCGCTTCTGAGAAGGTGCTCTGTGGGCAGCTGGAGGAGCGTGGAGATTACCTGAATGCACAGACAGGTTCGTAAAGGGGAGCAGGTTTTCCTTCAGGCGCTTGGTTCCTACGCCAGTTCAGCTGAAAGAGTGGTTGGTTGTTTACAGAACTGAGAAAACACTTCACATTGTCGGTTGGTGGTAAACCTTTATAATCCTAGCTGATCTTCTGGAACACGTCTGGGTTTGGGGGGGTGGGGAAGGAACTTGTGGCTAACATACTGAGAATCAAAAGAAGTGGGTTGGTGTTGATGACATTGGAATGAAATATCTGGAGAGCAGAGAGAGACCCCAGAGGGAAGGAAGTAAAAGACAGGAAGGGAGATCTATGGTTGTGTAACTTGGGTGTGAGTGTTAGAAGCTGGGACTTCAGATGAGGTAGGAAGAAGACAGTTCAGAATGTGGAATGCAGGCGATAGCAGCACTATCTACTTTTAAGATGCTACAAGTCTTTATCTTTGCTCTAACTTCCAGGGGTGGTTTCAGAGAGGTTCCTGCACTGCAGGGTTTTTGAACTGGAGGGTCCCTTCCAGCTCCACTATTTTATTAATGTGACTGCCCTTCTGGAAGAGCTTGCCATCCACTAGCACCCGCAGATTGTGTTCACGCAGAACGCTTCCCCTTCCCAGGAGCCGTACTTGTCGTCACCAGTGCAGGTTAGGAGCCTTGCTTGACACACAAATCTTCACTGGGGAAAAAATGGAGACGAACACTCCTCCCCTCCACATGTCCTTCTTTAGTCTGTAGGGTGATGTCCTACAAATGTGGTTGTCCTCTATCTCCCACCATGGAGAGGGCACCACATTAATTTCCCCTCCAATGCAGCAGTGTGCTTAAGGTAAAGGTAAAGGGACCCCTGACCGTTAGGTCCAGTCGTGACCGACTCTGGGGTTGCGGCGCTCATCTCGCTTTACTGGCCGAGGGAGCCGGCGTCCAGCTTCCGGGTCATGTGGCCAACATGACTAAGCCGCTTCTGGCGAACCAGAGCAGCGCACGGAAACGCCGTGTGCTTAAAGGATGTTATTAATTGCAAACCACCTTGAATATATTATTCGGGGTAAGACACAATGGATGGGGCCTGTAACAAGAAGCAGGTCTGAGTGGCTTGGATGTGGTGGCAGGGGGCAGGAGGAGGACTTGGGGTAGGAAGGGGGAAACTGAAGTCCCAGGTGGATGCAGTGTTTGTGGAGCCTTAAACACAGGAGCTGCTTTAGTTGGGGAGGTTGGGATACAGGCAGGAAGCTTGCTTTCCTTTTAGCAGAGCGGAAATAGCTATATCTGTGGTGCAGAAGGGGGTGGCAGCATCTTGGAGGGAGCCTAGGGAACAGGTGGCCGTCAGTGAGTCTTTGTGATGATGTCAGGGCACTGAGTTGGTCGTAGACTTCCTTTCAGCCAGGCACCTCCCCTGCATGCTGCCGCCCGCTAGGTGGCGCGGCTGCACCGCTTCGCCTCCATGCTGTGCTCGCGGCCATCCCATCCAGATTGGGATTTGAGCCAGCGAAACCAGCGCTGGAAATGGCTGCAAGGCCTTGGGCCGGCCTCAGCCCAAAGCAGGGGGCCGGGCTTCCTCCTTGCGAGAGTGACACAAGCACCTCCTTTCCTCTCCCAGGCTGCCTTCATCTAGGCCGCTGGTAACTCCCCAGCTGGCACTGGGTCTGGGTGCCAGCTGTTTGGTAACGCGAGGCCGGCGGGGGCGTGTGGAGGCATTCACAAACAGGGAGGAGGCTAAGCAAGCAAGTAGATTCACAGGGCGGGGCCAGAGCTCTGGGGCTGCAGAGGACTTGCTGAAAGTCAGAAAAGAGGTTGTTAGGAATGGGGAATGTCCATGTAAATAAATGTTAATGGTTTTCAGAAAAACCCTGTTTGGCGTAACGTGTGCATGTTATGTAGGGATAGTGGGGGGTTGTACATGCTGTAAAAAAAATGAAATTGGCTGTTCAGCTCCGGAGGGTGAATTCCAGTTCGCTGGACTAGCAAGGTTCTTCCCCCCTAACTCCCACTCCACCTAGAAAAAGCAATGGCATCAAAAGTAAGCTCTGTGAAGGGGGCAATCCCAATGGCCTGTTACGTGCTCTTTAAATTAAAGATAGCTCTCCCCATTCCTGACTTACAGGTGATTCCGCAAAGGCTGAATGCTGTTTTCTTCCCTTGAGCAAACTCCCCCCCCCCCCCCGCTTCTCCATGCAAACTCTTCCCTTCTCCTGAGGAGCCGAATCTGATTTGGGCTCATAAATACGAACGCCATCTGGTTGTCACCGAAGTCTGATGCCTTAAAGTGCCTCTGATTACATTTGCATTTTAATGAGCTGATTGGAGCACGAGAGCCTTCTTCTGGGGCCCCCGCGGTGGCAAAGCCCACTTTGCAGTTGCCCCGCCCGTGTCGGAGTCTGTTTTTATAATCAAATATTGCGAATAAATTGCCTTTAAAAAGGAAAAAAACAACAACCTGACTTAAGTCTCTTGTGGTGTTTTTGCTTGCGAGTGTGTTTTTGCTGCAGAGAGTGTCAGCTTCCTGGATCACACCCTCAGTGTGCTGCTCCTGTAAGCAGCTGTTGTTAAGAGGCCTTTGAGGTTTCTAGTCCTCACGCAGGAAAACAGTACTGCATGAGGCTCTTGCCGTAAGTTTAGTTCCAGAGGACGGGGAAATGGAGGGCAACTGGAAGCCTTCAGATTCTGTGTTGTGTTGTTTTCCAGGTCTGAGCTGCTGAGTCACTGCTTAGGAATTTAGAAATATCAGCACTTGTGGTCAGCTCAGCTGCTGAAAGCCAGGCTGTTTGCACTCTGCAACCTGCCAGGAATTGTCTCTTAAAACTGGAAAAACCGCACACGATTTGCGGTGCATTGTGCTCTTAAGGTCTGTGTTGACTCTCAAGCGACCAGAGGTGGAAGAGGGCCTTTGTCGGGCCGCCCTCTTCAGCGTGCGTCAGGGGGCTCGGAGTGGAAGTGGGGGGAACACCTCTCACCCCAACAGCTGCTGCGCGCATAGAAGCTAGCCTCAGGTAGCGGTCAGGAGGGTGAGCGGAGCACTCCTCTGTTGCTATAGACAGCCTTAGGCAAACCACTGGGACATAAGAGCTCTGCAGCTGCATCAGGTCAGTAGCCCATCCTGTTCTCACAGTGGGCAGCCAGGTAACCCCCATGTGAAGCAGATCACCCCCGAAAGGAGGACCTGAGCACAACAGCTCTCTCCCCACTTGTGGTTCCCAGCAGCCGGCGTTCAGAGGCCATTTCCCCCACCCCGAAAGTAAAACCATAGATCACATGGGCTAGTAGCCATGGACAGCCTTGTCCTCCACGATTTTGCCCATCCCCTTTTAGAGCCAGCCATAGTTTAACTATGCACTGTATGAATAAGTTTCTTTCAAGCTTGTTTTCTTCTGCTCTGGAGAGTGGGACCTGAGCCAAGGGATTAAAGCTACAAGGAAGGAGACTCCGACAGCAAGGAAGAACTTTCAGGCGGCAAGAGCGGTTCGCCGGAGGAACGGTCTCCCTCGGGAGGTGGTGGACTCTCCTCCTTTGGAGGTTTTAAAGCAGAGGTTCGATGGCCCTCCGTTATATGATCTGTTTGGGATTCCTGCATTGCAGCGGTTAGAACTCTAAAATTCAGTGATCTGTCCCGAATCTTCCAACATTCTACCTTGTGATCCCCTGAATTCTCATGCAAATTTTATATGCTGGCCTTCTTTATTTTATCACATTTACAGTCATACCTCATGTTGCGTCCGCTTCAGGTTGCGTTTTTTTGGGTTGCGGACTGCCGAAACCCAGAAGTACCGGAACGAGTTACTTCCGGGTTTCGGCAGAAGCGCTAAATTGCGCTTTGCACATGCACAGAAGCACCAAATCGCAACCCACACGGGTTGCGAATGTGCATCCCGCACAGATCACGTTCGCAACCCGAGCGTCCACTGTATACTGTATACAACTTTTTATCTTCCAAGGATCTCAAGTCAGTGCGTGTGGTTCTCTTGCTCCCCATTTCACCCTCGCAGCAACCCTGTGAGGTAAGTTAAGCTAAGAGAGGGTAGCTGGCCCAAGGTCACCTAGTGAGCTTCATGGCCGAGTGGGAATTCGAACCCTGCTCTCCAAGCTCCTAGGGGCCCAGCGATCAACCGCGATGTACCGAAACCTCCCGGGGATCTACCAGTAGATTGCGATCGACCTGTTGGACATCCCTGTCCTAGTCCAATACTCCAACCCTTATGCCACACAGGCTCTCTAAACTAAAAACCGCAGACCTTTTCCTCCCATTCTGTAATATGGGGGTAATACATACTGACCTCCTTTAAAGAAGGTGCAAAGGGCTCTGAACCAACCAAGTAGGATAATCTGGACGTTCACCCCTTTAGCATTTTGTGCTGTGGAAACAGGAAGTAACTCTTCCTGCAGTTGCTAGAAAGGAAAAGCAGGCAATGTTTCCTGCTGAGATGACAAGCCTGCCTTACCTAGACCAGTGAGACAAAGCTGCTCTTTTAAGGTCCAAATCTCTCCTTGCTGGCAGCCTCCAGACCACATCTTGCCCAGGAAGTATTACACTCTCCATCCAGCCCTGCAGCTCTCGCCCCTGGTGGGCAGTGGCTCTCCAGGGTCTTGAGTGGTGGTCTCCAACAGAAGATCCATTTTATTGACATTAACCATCGGTGCCACTTTAATATGGATTGGAAATTCAAAGCCCAGAGAGCCAGAATGCTGCTTGCTCAGGCGAAAGGCCAATTTACTACAGAGTACTGTTCTCCCAGTGGCCGCGATTCCTGCATTGCGGGGGGTTGGGCTGGATGACCCCCAGGGGTCCCTTCCCTTGACAATTCTATCACTCTTTACTGGATGCCCATGGGAAGCAGGCAAACAGCACTTGGGCGCAACAGCTCTCTCCCCAGTTTGAGTTCCTTCGCAACTGGTCCTCGAAGGCCTTTTCTTCTCCCGAAGATATCTCTCAAGGCAGTGGAGGTTTAGGGTCAGAGTTTTTCTTCTCTGACATGGGTGACCTTCCCAGGTGGACAAGCCCTATCTGCCCTTCATTTCCCTCTACAGCACGTACAGAAACTGCCTTCGCTCCATCCGCTGGAGCCTGTCCTTGCATGCAGAGAAAGTCCTTAACTCCCTGAAGGTTTGAAACCCATCTGCTCCCCTCAACTGGTTTAGCCGGCCAGCGGAAGCCGTTTCCATGGTGTGGCTGCTGTCGCACGCTGACAGTTCTAGGAGCTGCAGGTGGGAGCTGAGGGCTGATCAATTACAGAGAGGTGGATAGTGGAAGCTAGAAAGGTAAGTATGGAAGGAGTAGCAAGGAGGGCAGCAGGTGTGGCCTGGTGGTTATAGATTGTCTGTGATGGCCTGGGATTCGGACTCGGAGGCTGAACCTGAGGAACCCCAGCCTGCACAGGATTCCCCGCCTCCAGAACCAGCTGAGCTGGGGCTTGAGCCTGAAGGGTCCTCACCTGTGCTGGATCCTCAGGTGCAGGCACCAGCTGAGTCTGCTCTGGCTCCTGAGGTGATGGAGGACCCATTGCCTGCAGGTGCTCCACTCTCAGCCCCGTCAGGGGAAGCCGAGGTTGCCTCTGGGTCCAGTAACCCTCCAGCCTCTCCTGAGCTGCAGAGGCTCAGGGCAGAGAGGCGGAGGGAACTAAGTTCCCGCAGGAGGAGTGCTCGCCTCCAGGCCAGGAGAGGCGAGTCACCAGAGGATCGGGGCCGCCCTATGCCTCGGGGAAGATAAAAGCCAGCCAGCCCCAGTCCCAAGTTGCAGGAGCAACATTGTTGGTAGCCAGTTCCTGCCGGCACCCTGTCCTGCTTTTATGCCGGAGCTCCTGACCTCACCCGACTCCCTGCCTTGGACCCAGCTTCAGCCTTGATGGACAGCCTCCATACCGCACCCTCGACCTCGGACTGGACTCAGGCCTTGCCTCACGGTTAACCCACAGGACCAGCACATTGTCAGAGAGACCGGGGTTTGACTCCCCATGTGGCCGTAAAGCTCATGTCATGTGATCTTGGGGCCAGTTGCTGCCCCCTCAGCCTAGCCCACCTCACAGGGTTGTCGTGAGGCTACAACCAGAAGGGGAAGACCTGTGTGCTCCACTCAGTAAAGGCAAGATGTAGTTGTAATAATAATAATATAAATTTTATTTATACCCTGCCCTCCCCAGCCAAGACCGGGCTCAGGGCGGCTAGCACCAGGTATAAAAACAATTGATTAAAATACAACTTAAAAACAAGATTAAAATACAACATTAAAATGCAGCCTCATTTCAATAGAAACTCAAAACTTCTTTGGGGATGAAAACGTCAAATCTTCACCAAGGCCAACTATCCAGACTGGTCCTACATGGGCCAGAAAAAAGCTAGGGAAGTCCCCAAATAGGAGTTCCATCACTAAAGGAAAGAGGGAGGGGATCAGGTGGATTCCAAGCCAAAGGCCAGGCGGAACAACTCTGTCTTACAGGCCCTGCGGAAAGAAATCAGATCCTGCAGGGCCCTGGTCTCATGAGGCAGAGCGTTCCACCAAGTCGGGGCCAGTGTTGAAAAGGCCCTGGCTCTGGCTGAGGCTAATCTGACTTCCTTAGGGCCCGGGACCTCTAGGGTGTTGCTATTTATGGACCTTGAGGCTCTCCGTGGGGCGTATCGGGAGAGGCAGTCCCGTAGGTACGAGGGTCCTACCTAAATGTAGCAAACGAGCTGTGCATGTAGCCGAAAGCCTTTGCAATGCACCGAGTGCCCTTGAGAGAGAGTAAAACCAGGCCTGCACATCCCGCTCTTCGCCCCCTTGCTCAGAATCCGGATGCTTTTGCAGGACACAGACAGGAAAATGCCAGCGAGCTCGGCGAGGCAGGCAGGAGTGTGTGTCTCCTGCCTTGCAAGCTTCCAGGCCTCTGCCTGGCTTGGTCACTGCGAGGAGGGGAGCCCCTTCCCGTCCTGCTAAGTCCTGCTGCAGCCAGCGAGCCGCCAGAGGGCAGAATGGCGGCGAGGCCTGAGCAGAAGGCTGGGGATCCATTTGCACGCAGCTTTTGCTGAGCAAAAGCAGAGCTGCCTCGCCTTTCCCTCTGCTAAAAGTCGGCCTTAACATTAGCAGAGTGAAGCCAAGGGGCCGAGCTGTCCTTAAAGGATCATGCGTGGGTCTTGTTGCATGGCACAGGTGACGCTTTGCCTTGTCTGGGGTGTGTGATGAGTTGGGGCTGCTGCGAAATCTTCCCTGTCCTCTGGAGCCAGCCAGTCGTTCCTTTCTCACTCGTCAGCCGCGTTGGCAGAGGTTTGTTTTCTCCGCCTTCCCGCATCCTTACAGTTTCCTGTTTTGTTTTTCAGGTTGTCAGAAAAAGCACACAGGCAGGTGGCAAAACACTGCAAATATCACCCCCCCCCAAAAAAAACCACACCTCCCCAAGTCACACTTGCGTGGTCCCACGTGAATCGGGATGCGAGCTTGTTTCGCATCGCCAGTTCCCCCCCTCGCTGGCAGAAC